TGGGGGTGGGGGTGTCATCAGGAAGTTGGGCCGGCCTTGCTCCCCGCAGCAGGATGCTGGGGGCAGTCGAGCCCGACTCCTGTGCTGGGTGACCTTGGTGCCCGGGGTCTTCCCTGCGCTTGTGTGGCCCCATCTGTGCTGCAGCCACTGTACTGCCCCTCGCTCTCATCCTGCTCCTCATTTCTCCCTCGGGACTCAGGTCAAGGGACGGCTTTTTTCCCCCAGCCAACCGAGGACTTCTGTGGCCCCACCAGAGCTTACACCTGTGTCTTTTATGGCATCTTTCACACGGTTAGAGACACTGACTCTCTTTTTTGTTTGTTTTGTTGTTGTTGTTCTTTGGTACTGGGGCTAGAACTTGGGACCTTGCCAGGCGTGCTGGTGCACACGCCTGTAATCCCAGCATTCAGGAGGCTGAGGCAGGAGGATGCTGTGAGTTCAAGACCAGCCTGGGCTACATAGTGAGTTCCAGGTCAGTCTCACCTACATAGTGAGACTCTGCCTCATAACCAAAAAAAAAGAACTTGGGACCTTGTGCAAGACCCTGTCTCAAAATAGCAAACAAAAAAGGCCTGGGAATGCAGCTCAGAGTAAAGGCCTTGGGCTCAGTCCCCCGTGACACACACACACGTGCACAGACACACACACACACACACACACACACACACATACTTAGTGTTCAGTGATGAAGCACTCACCTGGCATGAGTGTGGCCCTGGGCTCAACAACCAGCACCAAAAGAACTTAAAAGTCAAAATGGTAAGCTTTACATTTCATCTACTTCACCACAACTTTTCCAATGAACACAGACTGAACAGCACAGCCGGGGCCACCCAGGCTGGGCCCAGCGGGAGCAGGCTGCTGAACACACGGTGCAGGGAAAGGAGCAGCCTTAGCACCTGCCCCTCCCCACCAGGAGCTCCTGTCTCCTCTGCTTTAGGCCCGCTAGGTGGTTCTGCACCCCAACATCTGCTCGGGTCTCCAGAGCCCCCTAAACCCAACGACCTGATTCACCTCATCCCATCCCTAACTTTCCCCTGGAAAGGCAAAGCCCTGGCTGAGCTGTGCACCCAGGAGACAGCAAAATGCACGGAAGAGACCAGGCCCCTGGCCACCCAGCCCCTCCAACCCTTGCTCTTCGTAGGCGTAAGTGGTGCATTCTCTTTTCAGAGAAACTATCTTTGCTTCTAACAACACCCAGAACTCCTGACTTTTCAAGGCCCTCAACCCAGGGCATTTCTGGCTCCCCTGCCCAGTCTTGGGGCCCCACTGCCAGGACGACTTACCTCCCAGTTTTCTGTACAGCTCAGCGGGCTTTCCGGAATGGTTCCAGGGGCTCAAGTTGCTTCCCCTGGCTTTTAGCTTGGAGCCCCCAGGGTTGCCAGACAACCAGGTCCCACCCTCTCACTGCTAGGGAACGCTTTGAATGACAGCTTAGGTGAGCTATCTTAGTGCTGGACTCTGAAGGCTCTGGGCACAGACACCAGGCCTACCTGTCCCCCTGCTGCCCACTGCAGCCCTACCCCTCAGGTCCCTTATTTGTAAGAGTGAGCTGGTTACTAATACCCTGCAGATGGTATTCGTGCCTTCGTTTCACAGAGGACGCCTCTGAGGTTCAGAGAGCCGGTGTGGTAGTCACGAAGCTGGGATTAGACCCTGGGTTTTCTTTTCTTTTTCTATTTTGTGGTTCTGGAAGATTGAGCCCAGGACTTTACACCAAGCTTCATGCTCAGCCCTTTTTATTTTGAAATAGCTAGGGTTGAACTTGTGATCCTCCTGCCTCAGCCTCCCAGCATTCTGCGATTATGGGTATTGAAGGAATCCAACTACCACCGCCACAGTCCTGATCAGAGACCCCTCTAAACTGCCTCTCTCAGCACAGGTCAACTGTGGACCCCTAACCCTGTTGGCCCTGCTATCATGCAGCCAGCACTCCCTGGGCTTTCCCAAGCCTCGTTCTCTGTTGACCATCACCGCTTGTGCTCTCCCAGGCCCTGGCAGGCAGCCACGGCCCTTCTTGCTGACTTTCCCTCCTGTGACCCCACAAAGGACCCGCAGCCTGTAGCAGAGCAGCTGCGGTCTCCAGTGCCGGAGCCCTCAGCTCTGTCCAGCGATGAACCTGTCCTGTTGGACTTCAGCCTCTGTTTCTTCTCCTTTTCCCTGACAGGCTTGCACAGCCGTGCTGGGACGACTCTGGGGTTTCTGATTCAAGGCACTCAGGGGCCCCATCCACAGACATGATTACTGCAGAATGTAATGGGGTCTGTTGTGGAGGCGAGGCCCAGCCTGGCCTGCACCAAAAGCCAGCGTGCTCGTTGACCTTGAGGACAGCCTTCTAATCGGTTGGTTGGTTGTGTGGTACTGGGGATACCATGCAGCAACATCCCCAGCTCCCTCCTGTTATTGTGAGTGGGGTCTCCCTCATTGCCCAGGCTGTCTTCGACTTGCAGTCCTCCTACCTTAGCCCTCCCAGCAGTTGGGCTCTGTGTGTGCTCTTGCACCCAGCAAGAAAGGTCTCTTTTAAGCAGGGAGGCCTTTGCCAGAAACCAGTGTCTGAGGATGTAGCTGGACTCGCCTGCACGTCCCCTGCAACCTTGGCTGCGTGCCTGCTGTGCCCGGGCATGGTGCCCCTTTGGCAGGGGTGCTCATGCCCGGGGCAGATTTTCCAGCTGTCTGCGGCTTCTGCCCCCAGGCTGGGTCTTGAGGATGCATCCGTGGCCTGACCCACCCTGCAGGCCTCGCCTAAGGATGGAGGGTGATTTGGAGAGGGACAGTAACCTCCCACGCGCGACCCAGTGACCACTTCTGACTGTTTCTCTTTGATCCTGGGCTGTGTCCACCCCTCCCCATTTGCATCCCATAGCCTGCCACGTCCTGGCTGTCACCTGCCACACTTCCTTCAGCTCCTCTCTGGGTCCTCTGTCCACCTGCTCAATGCTAGCACATGCCAGCACTCTGCCCTTCGATATTTTCTCTTATTTCATGTACTCTTTTGAGAACATTTCTTCAACTCCTCTGATTTTTTTTTTTTTTTTTTTTTTTTTTTTTGGT